CACAATAATTCGTAACAAAGCAGGTAAAAGTGCTAGCGGTGTTAAAGTTTAGGACTTCTCCCAAATAACTCTACCTGCTCCTCAGCCTTCTCCTGAAATGAAGGCTATCAACATTCATCACCCGGTTTGAGGTATGGGCAGAAGAAAAAACTGCAACTGGTACTCCCCGCCCCGCCTTGCCTCTGCTAAAATACAGCAGCAATCTATTGATCTGGTAATTGACAATGGTGGTGCACAATCTCTTACCTCCATTCAGCTTGTGTATAATTTAATCACTATATAAAAAAAAGTTATTTTGAAACATAGTATTAATGCTGAACTTAAAAAACAACAACAAAAAAAAAACCAAAACAAAAAACCCCCAACTTTAAATCTTCTTTGAAACCATGTTTAAATGTTCTTGTTCCAGATTTAAAGCTTCACATAAACACCGGACAGAAGGATGACAATTTTAAACCAAGAGAGCACCTAAAAATATACTATAGGTAAAAATGAAATCAATCATCTCTCCACTTCATAAAAATGTAGAAACCCTGTCAGCAACAGTAGTAGACTCAGAAGGAACAAGGTGAAAAGGAGCATCTAGAATACTCAAGAGGCTTGCTACGCTACTTCTCTTTATTGCCCATTCTCTCATTTGTATGGACGGCCACTGCACGACAAGAAGCCTGTGATAGTTCTCTTGTCTTCCTTTCACCACTGCTGCCAGCTGAAGTCGTCATTGCTGCCAAAGACCAAGAAAAATCCTAGGATCGTGGCAAAGATGACTGTATTCCCCGTAAGAACAAGTGCACACGCGCCCCAGTAAATCTGCGAACAAGGGGGATTTAGTTAGACACATTTTGAACTGAATACCGACAAAAGGTTAACGTCTTAATGTCAGATTCTAGACAAAGCTCACCAACAGGCCCGTCATGCAAGAAGGTGGTATCTCATTATTTGTGGTTACGCCAAGAAGGCTGGGTTTACCCAAAATGACTCGACCAATTCACAGTTAGCCAAGCAGCACTGCAAGCTTCTTCTAGCCGTGCTCAAAGCACTGGCTAGCAGGCACAGCTGTTTTGCCGTAACATCTACAAATAGTAAAGTGAGGCTAGGCAACAGCATCAAGCACATCTGCAGCCCAGCTATACTTGCTGACCAGGCTATAAGACTGTTTTAAACAGACATTTAAGGATGCAGGTCTTCAAAATGCCGGCAGATATCCCCGTAACAAAACAGGAGGTGAATGTTTTCCAAGGAGAGTAAGGGGATTACTCAACGGGTGTGAGGCATTCAAACAGACCGTCTGAGCTGTTCTTGCCTAAAGAGATTTTAAGAAAATGCACTCCCATGTTTTTTGACGTAGTAGCGCGCTCTGAAATTCACACAAACAAGGTCATCCTTTAAAGGATTTTAGGGAAAAGCCGTATACTGGGGAAGATGTAGTGATGACTGGGAAGTTTGCAAAATAACACCACATTATCGGTTACAGCGAGTGCAGAAACGCGTCACTTGTTCATGCTTCTTTAGCCCAACCGTTCCACAAATTGCCTTCAGAGTGTTCGATGCACTTTTATATTTGGTTACTTGCCTGTTAAGTTTTCACACTATTTTCTATCTCGTTTTCTCTGCATTGCATATAGGCTGTTAGGGTTTACTCCATGACCACGTGAAGCAATTGGCAATCACAACGTTCTGCCGTGCTTCCATTTCTAGTATTCATTTTTCTTGCCAAAAGAACTCTTATTCTGTTTCCACTGCAAGCATCTTAAGTATGCATTTATAAGAGTTGCTTAGTGCATGAGAGCTTTACCTTCAGTAAAAAAACATAAAGAACAAAGTTTTCTAGAAAAAAAAAAAAACCCCAACCACAAACCATAGATTGAAATATTACTAACCAGTTCTGCTCTTGCAAACACTATCGGTAGCCCAAATGCTGAGACAACAATGCCTGTTGTGAGAAATATTGCTAGCTCCTTGCAGGCATTACTTGTAGCATCTGTGTCATCTACTAATCTTCTTGCTATGCAGTACGGGAGAGGAGAAAGGATATAAAAAAACAGAACAAACAGTGGCCAGTACTGGCTGAAAAAGAAAGGAGAAGAAAAGTTAAAGTTAACTTGATTTACTCCCTGTTCTTCCTGAAATCCGCGCAAGGCGTTTTCCCCATCCAGCATCCACGTTGGGGAAAGACGGACACAAGCCCAGAGAAAGCAAATCCTTCGCTTTGGGACAAGCTGACGCTCATCCAACACGCCGTGTTCGTGAGCGGCTTCAGCTGACCTCAGCGGCAGAGAGCTCACTAACAGGATATTCATAAAGCGAGATTTCACTAAGCAAGCCCAAATCTAACGCCACCTCACGTGATGAGCTTAACTCGTAAGTTTAACCTGTCAGCTTTACTTAAGAATCGCAGAGATACCTTTGTAGAGCCCTCTCGTCATTTCGCCCGTGAGCTCTCAGCGCGCCTACGTGGAACGGAGTACCGTTCTCAGCCAACACCCACCCGCCACGGGGAACCGAGACTCGGGTTTTGGTTTTTTAAATCTGAATGCAGCCAACAAAAACCTGCAAAAATTACACCATTGTATCTGGCAACGTCTTCCTTCACTGCTTGCCGCTCACCGGACTAGATTTCTCAGACACACCGACGCGGCTGCACATTGTTTCAATAAAACTTTATCGCAGTTTGAAGGGTGACCGCACAGTCACCTCCTTCCTACGGGTTTGTGTCACCAGCCCTGGTTTTATAACAAAAGCAAGCTGGCGTAAGAAAGCTAGTCACGTGTGCGACCATTGCAGAGAACAGCAATTCGCAACCACTAGCAGGACTATCGACAGGATATCCGATACTACTTTAACTGTCGATTTAAAGTCGATTTAAAAGATTTTCTGTAAAGTCAGCACTCGCTTGCAAAGGATCAAAGCCATAGGCCTGACTTTCTGAACTTTTGGTCTACCGCTTCCTATCTCCTGGACGGAGAGGCAGGAATCAAGAGACCGAAAGCACAGGGAGCGGCTGCAATTACCCCAGAGGCTGCACTACCAGCTGTGGTGGGCAGCCAAGGGTCTGCCTGACAGTCACCCACAGCCCAGCGACCACTGGTAGCCCAGCGAAGGTTACCACTGGTGCCCCAGCTACCACAAGCAGCCAGAGAAAATGCAGACGCTTCCCTGGCGAGAGGTGCTTGCCACCTGCCTCAGGAAACGCCACCTGCTTATCAGGCACGGGGGGACGATACTGGAGACATGTTAGGACAGTGCATTCTTCAGCAGTTTGCAGCCGGGCCCGGTAATTTAACTTTTGTCGCCTTTACTTTTATGGCGAATTAACTCCTGGACGGTCTTTTTCCCCACCCCACTTGCCACCTGCCTCAGGAAACGCCACCTGCTTATCAGGCACGGGGGGACGATACTGGAGACATGTTAGGACAGTGCATTCTTCAGCAGTTTGCAGCCGGGCCCGGTAATTTAACTTTTGTCGCCTTTACTTTTATGGCGAATTAACTCCTGGACGGTCTTTTTCCCCACCCCAACCTTCTGAAGCCAAAAAAAGCCCCCCACCCCTCCTAGACACAGAGGACTGATCAGCCCCCAGTTACGAAAGCCAGACCCTTCTGGGGCGACAGGCATGCAAAACGAAACGAGGACGAGGAGGAGAGCGCACGCTACTTGTACTGGGGC